GCAATTTTTCCATTTAAAATTTCTAAAACTGAAAAATAAATTGTTTAGTCTCAATTTATTTGCTAAGCTAAATACATGAACAAAAAAATTTGCGTAAAACATAGTCTGAGCACTCTTTTTAACAGTTATAGAATCAAAAATTGCAATGAAGCTTCTCTGTGACGGCTGAATTTGCATTTTTCAGTTTTGGATTATAGCTTGAATCAGTCCAAAAAACGGGCCACAATTTTCAATTTCTGAATTTCTCAGTTTTTCTTGAAAAAGAGGCCTTGTAGACGTATACAAAATTTGAATACTTTTTGTTATATTTTTGTTTTAAGTTTAAGTTGGTATCTATCAACACGTAGTTTAGTCTGCAATTTTAAGGCCATTCAGCCTGTTGGTTTTCTTGTTTGAGAAAATTGTTGGTCGTTAGGTTTCAGGGCAAAACACAAACACACAGAAAAAGACAAAATTTATGTGAAAAAAAAACTTGTCAAACGGTTTCGTAGTATGGAAAAAAAATGGCTATCATAAAATTCCATTTTATGGCAAAAAAGCTTATAAAGCTAACTTTGTATACATGTTAATTTATGAAATTGTATGATATCGTAAAACAAGCATTTTTTTGATTGTATGGAATTGTTTTACAATGCATTTTTTGTCAGCTTGGGTTCGGCTCTGAACAGGATAAAACTTTGATGCGAATTGTACAAGTTTATGAAAAAAAATGTGGAAAAACACTTGTTACACAATTCCAGAGCAAAAATTTCTACTCACGGTGTTATATAAATTGTAATGCCATACACAAGAGATTGAATGCTGAATAATTTTGTCAATGTGGACACAAAAACTATTTCCAAGCGTTATTGCTGCACCAATTGTATACGAGCCACATGTTCAACTTTCCGTTCGGCGCCCTCAACGCCAACAAGCTCTGTATTTTAAACGAGCGTAAGCGCAAAAAACGGCAGTGTATTAATGAACAGCACGGCAAATTTTAAAATGAATTTTGACTAGCGTTGCTTAGACTAGCATAAAATTCAAAATAAAAATTTTAAACACTGTAAAAAATAAAATCACTATATATTCAAAAAATCATATCAATGAAAGTTTTACACATTTCAGAAACACGATCGTAATAGAACAGTATGAAAAAAGCAAGCGACTCTTTGTTTTGTTGAATCAATCGAAATTTTGCTTTACATTGGCTTAACAAAACCAACTCACGCATTTAGTTTTAAGCGTTACAATTATTCCAGCATTGGCTTACAAAATTTTCGAGTTAGTTTTGACTGATCTCATGATAAACCATGAAAGTTTCGACTGCATTGTAAGGCTAACACAAAAGTATTGCGGTTGAATAACTGACGAAAAAAAATTAAATTTTTTTTTCTATTTTGTTTCAGTTTGCCTCCCCCCGCACGCTCTGTGAAATACAAAGACTTCAATTAGCAGTTCGTATTATTTTAAATAGATCTAAGCTATTTACCTCAATTCAATTTGTAACGCAATTTTTTACATGTACACGTGTTTTAAAAAGGCATTTAATTGCGGGTTTAGTAATTTTCAAACCTCCGTAATTTTACAAAAAAAAATGATAGCAGATAGAATATCCTTATCATTTTGAGCTCATTATAACAATATATTTCAGATGGTATAATTTCTTAGAAAAAACACAACTAATATAGTTAAAAGGTCGAAAATTGAATAAATAAGAAAACCACCCAAGGGGGTCAGCACTTTCTGAACTTTCTTCGAAAGTCGGAACAATTATATTGCCGCTCATACGTTAAAAGCATAAAATATATCGTGCTTTAACAATCACAAACTCGTCAAACTGGCTGATATCTTAGCGAAAAATAAAAACAAATGATATAAATTTTTAATTATGACCTCAAGAGATCAAAAGCTTTCCGATTATAGTCACTCTTTTTGTTCAAATTTTTGATCAAAAATTTACTATCTGAAACAGTTACACCAAAATACTACCCTGAACAAATCACTGCTTTGCTTGCATCTTCAATAGGTTTTGCATCAATTTTGCGTCGGATTCAACTAGCAAAAAACTGTATCGTATCAAAAGAAATAAAACATCTTTCAGTAATATTTCATCAAGAAACATTTTAGCACAAATTTCCAGAACAGCCAAAACCTCAACAAAACAGTGAAATCGGCTTCCTAATTACTCTCATGTGGCTATTGGCATCAAAGCACCAATTAGGACATAACATAACAGTTTGAACACTTCAGTGTGAGCAAATCTTAATAGCGGAAATACTTTTTGTTTCATATATCTGAAAAAGACTATAAAAAATTTTTACTTTCAATTTACCAAGTTTTTAAATTTACATGATTTCCTATGTCCGAATTATCTGAATTATCGAGCTCTCCCAAATCACAATACAGACACTATTTTGACTATTTTGACGCCGCACACTATTTTTTTTTTTTAAAAAATTGAGAAAATGACCTTTTGGAATATTTTGGCCAACAATTTGATTTTTTTGGAACGCGCTCCCGACTCAAAGTTAGTATATATAAGCGCCCAAGGTCAAAACCGGTCAGCCACATTGAGTTTCCTAGAAAAATCTCCAAAAATAGATCCTTTTGGTGGCTAGGTTGTCGAATCCATCAGAAGGGGGAGGAGCGCAGGGCTCCATTACTGTACTGTGGTCTCCAAAAAATAGGAAAAATAATAGTTTTTTTGAAAACAGCGAAATCAATTAATATCGATTAATCGATTAGTTTAACTTTTTAAAGATGTTATAAAGTGTGCGAAGCCCTAAATGTTCTGACTGCATTTTAAGATCTATGGAGCGGAAGAGCATAAAAAAATTAAATAGAATAAAAATAAAAAGAGAATTTTTTTTAATTTGAGATTTTTTTTTGTGTTAATTATCCCCCCACACGCCATATTAAGTACAAGGTGATAAATTCTGCTCCAAGTAACAAATCAGTTATGGCTAATTAGCTTCCTTTAACCAATTTGGAACAATTTCTAAGACGGATTAAATCTCCGCTTACTCGTTTATAACGCTAAACATATCGCGCGTTGATTGTCTCGAATTGGCCAAAATGGTAAACTTCAAACCCCCATAACTTTGCGAAAAATGATCACAGGTGAAATATTTTTTCAAATTTAAACTCAAGACAACAATACTATTTGATTGAAAAAAAAACTCCATCAAAAATGGCTAGTTAATAAGTCGAAATTTGTGTAAAGAGAAAATAACCCATACCGAGCAAAAATATTCCATTAGTTTCGGTACAAAAGTCTGAACAACAAACTGCTCATAATCAAGGCAAAGCCCTGAGTGTTCCAATTGCTTTTTAAAGTCTATGGAGCAGTAATAACATGAAAAAAATAAATTTATCAAAATGAAACGAAAAAATGATTTTTTTTTCTTCAAAATTTGAGATTTTGGTGAAAACCATCTCCCAAAGTGATAGATTTAACTCCTAGTAAGAAATCAGATATGGCAAATAAGCTTCCTTCAACCAATTTGGAACAATTTTCAAGACGGATTAAATCTCCGCTTACGCGTTAATAATGCCAAAAAAATCGCGCGTTAATTGTCCCAAATTGGCGATAACCCCCATAAACCCATAAATCCCCATAACTTTACAAAAAATGATCTCAGGTAAAATAAATTTTCAAATTTAACTTCAGGACAACACTACCTCATAAATGATTTAAAAAATTCAGTCTAAATGGCTGCTTGAAAAGTCGAAATTTGTCTGAAGAAAAAAAACCTCCCCGAGCGCAAATATTCCGTTACTTTCGTTTCGAAAGTCGGAACAAAAAGAAAATCACAAATTAAAAATCAATCAATGTTCGCTGACAAGAGGGGCGGATCTAGGATTATCTCGAGAGGGAGAACATAGTTGATTTTTTGTAGGACGACCAAAATGATTTTCCGAGCTCTCCCAAAGCACTAAAATGACCTTGTTTTGGCCTCATTTCTTGCGCCGCAGAGGATGGAATACCCCCCTTCCCCTAAATCCGCTACCGTATGACATAAATGTTCACTGAAAACCTTCGATTGACAGAAATGTTCTCTGAAACTAATAATCTCGTGCATAAGTTTGCCATTTTTTTTAATTATTTTTCCGTCGAAGTCATTTTCGTGGCATGCATGCTAAATTTTCTAGGTTTAATATGTAATTTGCAGATTGTGTACGAGTTGTGTAAGTGGTAATGCTAAGTAACATTTAGTTAATGATATTCAGCCTTAAAACATTCAAGTAATATTTAGGGAAGTAATACGGCGCTAAGATATATTTAGTTAATGATATTCAACCTTGAAAAGTTCAAGTTATTTTTAGGTAAGTAATACCGCGCCAAGTTTTATTTTTTGGTGATATTCAACCTTGAAACATCCCAATAAAACTTTTGGTTGCTTTTTGTTCCGACTTTCGATACGAAAGTAGCGGAATATTTGTGCTCGGGGTGGGTTTTTTTTCTTCAGACAAATTTCGACTTTTTAACTAGCCATTTTTGACGGAATTTTTTTTCATATCATTCGAAAGGTATTGTTGTCCTCAGCTCAAATTTGAAAAGATATTTCACCTGTGATTAATTTTTGTAAAGTTACGGATGTTTAAAGATTGCCACTTTGGCCAATTTGGGACAATTAACGCGCGATATATTTCGCGCTATTAACGTGTAAGCGGAGATTTAATCCATCTTAGAAATCGTTCCAAATTGGTTAAAAGCAGCCTATTTGCCATAATTGATTTGTTACAAGGAGCGAAATCTATCCTTTTGTACTTTATATTCCGTGTGGGGGGATTATTTTTATAAAAGTTTTCAAATTTTAGAATTTTTTTTTCCATTTTGTTTTATTTCATTGAACTTTTTAATGTTATTACTGCTCCATAAACCCTATAAGGCAGTCGGAACATTCAGGGCTTTGCCCTGATACGAGCAGTCTTGTTAAATTTTGTTTGCCGTCGTAACCCTGCCGTTAATTGGCAGTCGCTTTTGGTAGCGTGTTATAGGTTATAGGTTATGAATGTAAATCTCAAAACCATGTTAATTTTATCTGCTAGTAATCATTTGTAACTTTCTAAATTTCGTTTTCTAAGTGAGGTTGACGTTGCATAAGCAGTATATCGTATTGATGAAGTGTAGAAGTGTCGGTAATCTATCTGTAGGGGCCTTCGTTTTGAAGAAGCGTATAGGCAATGGGTTGGAGGGGGGTTGGGGGTGTTGGATCTATCTAGTGGCGACAGAGGGTGCCGTTCTGTGCTTCCTCTGGATGGTTCTGTTGGCGATGAATGTGGCGAATAGCGCAACGGAGATGAGGAGAGGGATGGAGTTGAAACCCAGCATCACCCACAACATGTACGAGGCGAACTCCTTCTCCACTACGAAACAGACGTCCGAACCAGCCTCCAATTCGATGACCTATAGATAATTAAACATTGAAACTTTCGAAAACTTGGTAATCAATTCTCGCTTTTTTTCAGTTTCCCAAGAAATTTAAACATTTTCAGCACCAGTGTCCAAGTTGATGACCTAATATTTTTTAAAAAATGATGGGATGGTTGTGTTAATGATGTTCCAAAACCGTTGATATCTTTTTGCAACCAAAATTGCCCGAAATTTTAAAATTTTAAAACTTAGGAAAAGTGCAGTCAAAAAAGTTTTGGAATTATCCAGGAGTGCTCGTTGCATCAACTAGCCGTTGTATAGATAAAATTACCTTCTTTTGGGAGCCAAAATTTGTTAAATCTTGATTTTAATCACAGTTTTTTTGCCAAGGGTTTGCCAGTTTTTTGTTGAGGAAAAAATTGAGGTCCGTTTAAATAAAAACTATTTCAAAAGCAGCAAAAATGCAGTTTTTTTTGTTTCACAAACTTTTTCTGGAGCCGCACTATTCAAAAAATTAATCAAAACTTTTTTCTTATTTTTCTACAAAACGTTCAAAATTTTAAACTCAATCCATTAATAGACCATACAGTCATTAAGAGTATGTTTGACAGACTGCTCCGATAACTTACCTTAATGACGTCTTCCATGGCGGATGTTCCGAGCAGTGCAGCCAGCAGACAGAGTATCCACTGGACAATAGACATGAACACACTAGCTCCGTAGATGAATTTCTCAAAGCGGAAGTTGTACTCCAGCACGCGCAGAACTTCAGACAGCAGGTATAAAATGACGAACACCAGAGAAGCCACAATTGCTGTCGCAACCACGAGAGGGTTTTTCTCATCAATTCCCCCCTACATTTTCTGTCTTCAATAATACCACGCTCAAGCTGCAAACTTTAAAACAATTTTTTTTTAAAAATAATCCAGGCACTTCGGTGCAGTAGGGGTGGGGGTGATGGTAGGGGAGGGAGCTTCAGCTCTTTTTTTCCCTGTAGCCTTTTTTATCCAATTTTCTAGCTTGATATACAAAATCTAAATGCACTGAAGTTGGAAAAAAATATGTCGTAGTTTTGAACCAATGAGCTTCAAAAAGTTCACTAAATTGACAAGTTTTTACTTAAGCTCCTAACTTTTGGCATAGCGTGATTCAAAGATCTCCCAAATTTTTCCAAAACGACAACTTTATACTTAAGCTCCTAACTTCTGGCACATTTGGTAAGCTTTTCTGCTAAAATACACGGCCTTGAAATGAGAAATACCCGTCATCAGAATGGCCTCAGTTCGTTCCATGTCAGTTCGCACGGGTGAGGTGACGAGACCCGATTCCCCCCACCTACACCTGACCATGTCAGGGAAGGAGGAGTTGTGATAGAAGCTCTGGTCGCAAGAGCGAAACAACCCCACGAATGCTTTCATCCGGTACACCATTTGAAAATCTGCTCATTTCATTGGCGTAGGTTAGTTGATCAGTAATCATTCGGAGTGCATCAATTGAGCGACCATTTCTGTTCGCTAGCTTTTAAGAATTTGCCACTGACAATTTCACTGCTCTGCAGTTTTTAGTGTTATAGCTCTTTAGGTCTGCATTTTTTATTTCATGGTATTTTTTAGACTGATCCCTACTTCCAGAAAATTTTCCAGGCCGGAAATTTTCGAGGCAGGAATGAGAATTTATTGTGATGAAGGTTTTTTTTCCAGTTTTCCGAGGGTTTCTCGCTTGATTGTTGTAACATTTTGGTTGACTTGAAAAATTTTTTGACAAAAAGGTTTTCAAAACACCCTTTCGAGACCTTGTCGGTATCTTAGAACAGGATAATTGACAGAACACTTGGTAGATTACAAGTTTGACTGATGAACATTGGCTTCAGTTCATCATTCTAATGCCGAAGGTCAACTCATTTCAGTTCATCATTTCAATGCCGAAGCTCAACCCATTTCAGTTCATCAATTTAATGCCGAAGCTCAACCCTCTTCAGTTCATCATTTTAATGCCGAAGCTCTAAACAAAACTAATGCCGAAAGCTCAACCCAATTGTTTAATAAACTTTAAGAACTCAAATAAGTTTGTCAGCAATAATTTCGATCAAAAATTAAGCTTCTTTACCTTAACTCCGGAACAATTGTTAAAAAGTAAAAATCGTTACTGTGCAGTTACCACAGAATACTCCAACCACGCTAACTAAAGCAAAAACAACTTGAACTTAAGTTTTTTCAAAAAGAATATTGGGATTTTTTGAAGTATTTCTACTGTTTTTGACCAGCAAATGAGAAAGTAATATCCCAAATGCAATAAGCATCAAGACGGGGAGTAAAATTGTTTAATTCCGAAGCTCAATCGGTAAAAATAGTCTAAATAACGGAGCCATTGACACCAGTTTATCTCGACTTTCTGAAAAAAAATTAGAATACTTTTTCGAGTCGGAACCAAAACTAAAGATATCCGGCTGCTGAAAACTAACACAGAATGTTCCGGCCAACTTTTGACAAAAATCCAAAATAACGAATTTTTCATTAATGCCAAAAAAACACTTTTTTTTAAAAAATCGAAATTTTCTAGTAATTTTTTTTCTAAAAACTGAAATTTAATAAAGACAGAATGCATGAAATATCTCTAACAATACTTATTTTAACGTAACAAGTAGAAGGCCAGGTTTTCAATCAGTTTTTGCGTAAGTTGTTCTGAAAAAGGAAAAAAGTCCTACCAGTTTTTCGACACTGAGAGAACTTTGCTAAAACTTTTTTTGTGTTATAAGTCCTGACCAATTTGTTAAGTGACACCAATATTTTCAAGTTATTACTGCTCCATAGACCTTAAAAAGCAGTCGGAACATTCAGGGCTTCGCCCTGATACGAGCAGCCTAGTTTACTTTATCATCAGAATTTGGCACATTTTTTGCTTAGTTATTGCAAAAAGATTAGATTCAATAACTTAAAAATTGATGAAAGGAGAGATGACTCATAAACACGTGTTTTTGAAAACTCTGCTAGAACAAATTGTGAAATCGCCCCCATCTGATAATTCGTACTATCTCATTGCAAGAAAATAGATAAAAATTAGACAATCTCGAGGCGCTCCTAGCGAGTCCTCCGATTTTTTTTATTTTCAATATAGCTGTTCACGCCATAGGTTTTCGAAGCATTCTTTTCTATAAATGCGACCTCCTAAACTTAAGTTGAAAATCCACTCTCAAACATGTTGAACGAACTGTAAGTGATTATTGGTGAAAACGTTTCCTGATTACAATTTACCACCAAAATATTCCACTTAACTGATAAAGAAATCTAATCCTCCGCCTACTTCTGTATATAATTAGACAGTACTTTGTATTCCACTCAAAACAGATTTCTTTTCTTGGATGCAAATTGAAAGAAAGAATAAATTTTATCTCTCTTTTTTTTCTATTAACTTTGCTAGAAGTATGGCTTTATAAACTCATGGTAATTTTATAGATTTATTTGGACTGAAATGCATCACCTAAATTAGAATTTGGGAGCGAGGCACCAAATCTACTATAGGAGGGATTTGGACTGTTTTCTAATTTATTTTTTCCTTTGATCTGTCTCTACTCTGTGCATATATTCAGGGGGGTGGATTTTAAATCAACTAAACAATAATGGGTGAGGCTAAACCTAATTATAGTGAAAATATTGCAATACTTTTCAGTCTAGGTAGCTGTTGACGACGAATGAAAAAATGAATAAGGTGGTAAGTTGGGATCAAAACGTACAACATACAGAAGGTTATTCGAACAAGCAACATGAACTAAAAACCTGCCCGAATTGAAGTGCTCCATTTGAAGGTCAAAACAGCAGTCCTCTTTTTTATTACAGCAGTATTCTTATAATTGAAACACTAAGATCATACAAAGACAAGTCTCATTTATGCTCATCATGAATTTAAACTTATCTATTTTTTGGCTGTACTGGTTCCTTGATGGAAAAATGAAAAAAAAAACGTAAATTTTCCCCTAACTTCCACGTCACACAATGTTTTAATTGTGCGTCCATACACGCACATTTTAAAGAAATTCAAGCACTTTTTTGAAGAATGCAAGCACTAGTCAACCAAAATTGGCACTTTCGAGCCCCTTAGTTTTAGCAAAAGTGTCTTGATTTTGAGTTCAATTTATCAATATCTGTTTGATAGTAAAAAAAAATTCAGTAGAAGATTGTTGGTTTCAAAGTTCAAACTAGAACCACACAGAGCTAAATGTTTTTCAATACTTTTTTCGGAAGTCGGAAAAAAACCTCTTGTCCTATTTTTTTTGAGATGCTACAGCAAACGAGAATACTGGCAAAAACAATTGGGACTCACCAAAATCTGTAAAAAATGGCTTACAAAAATAAAAATTCCGACAAATTTCTATGATTTAAGGCTGGTTTTAGTCAAGGCCTCAAAAAACGCAGCAAGACTCATGTGAAGCTCGATGAGCATTGGATTGGAAAACTTAGACAACAAACAGTCAAAAAGAGTTAAAAACTAAACAAAATTGGGAGAAAAACGAGAATAGGTGGCTGCATGATTATCCGACCAAAAGTATTTCAAATTTTAAAGTTTTTATAAAAAAGATTTTAAGTTATTGGGACCGAGAGAGGGAGGTTAGCGTACATTGCCTGTTAATAGCAAAATACAAGCAGGTGGTGGCCTTGATTGTCCCATATTCGCATTTTCATTGCGCCAAATTTTTAAAGTAAAATTTTCAGTCAAAAATTGTTTTAATTTTGGCTTAGATCATTATCATCTTTCAAGTGGTTTCACAATTATAATGTCGGAACTATCAAAATTACAATTTCAATTTAATTGCACTCTAGTGTGAAGTTTAATAAGTTTATTGCATTTCAAGATCTCGGACACAAAAATGAGCGGCTCCGGCTGGAAACTAATAAGACCGTTGAAACACTTGCATTTTCAGTAAAAAAAAGAAAGTAAACATTTTTTGGAGGTAAAATCGAAAATAATGCGCCGTTTTTTCTACTTCTGTGAACTTTAATCTGAGCTCCTGTTGCAATTTCTTTAAAAAAGTCTCTTCAAATTTTCAATCCAGCGCATTTTCAATAACATGGGACTTGTAGGATGCTAATGCATGTGATCATTTAGTTTTATTATTATAATCAAAATACAATAAAAGACAAAAGTTTAGATCTATCCTTTTCAAATTGTTTTGAAAATACTTTTTTTTGAAACTGTGAATTTGAACGAACCCATTCCACCTCACAAACACTGGATTTTTGTTTCGACTTTCTTAATGAAAGTAACGAAATGTTTGTGCTCGGGGTGGTTTTTTGTCTTTTTAACTAGCCATTTTTGACGGAACTTTTTTTTACATCAATCAAAAAGTTTTGTTGTTTCGAGCAGGTTTTATTTTACCTGCAATCATTTCTATAAAAAGTTAAGGGGGCTTAAATATTGCAATTTTGACCACTTTAGGCGGTTAACGCGCAATATTTTTTGATGCGCAATATTACCGCGTAAGCGGAGATTTAATCCGTCTTAGAAATCGTTCCAAATTGATTGAAGAAATCTGATTTGCCATAAACCATTGGTTTGATGCTAGGAGCAAAATCTATCTTTTTGTACTTTATATGGCGTGAGGAGGGATGATTTTTACAAAAAAACTCAAAAAAAATCATGGTTACTTTACCTTTAGTTTTTTTTGTGCTATTACTGCTCGATAGATCTTAAACGGCAGTCGGAACCTTCGGGGCTTCGTCCTAATTTGAGCAATCTTATTTTATCTTAAAAAAATGACTTACCGCTTACCGACAAACAAAACCTCCGACAAATGGTTAACAGTATTCATTGATTTTCACTGGCCTAAACTGACTCGGTAATTGAGCCACTGAAATCTAAATGGAGTCAAACAAAGTTTTGCATATAGGTTTTTTCGACACTGAACAATTTTAACTTTTTCTGATTTCTGAAAAAAATATTACACCACATCATTTAATTTTTCAAAAAATCCTAATGGTAAAAAAGGACCGATTATCTTCAATAATTTGGTGTTTTTTATCTTTCAATTTTCATCAATTTGATTGTCGTTTTTTGATTTTCAAAAAACTTCTTTGATTGACACCATTTTTGACGATGTTAAATTGTAAACTGAGATGATTAGATCAATAGGTTATTTGATGAGAGTTGAAGTTGAAAAAGAGAGCTTAGAAAATTATAATCGATCTTCTAAACTAAAACTTTAGGTGCAGTTTCTTTAAAAAAATTGAGCTCCATTGAAAATTAAATTTTGAAAGTAAATTCAGATTGTAACAAAAAACACAAAAGTTTGTATACATAGGACACGCATAGAATCTATTGCAAATTTATTACTCGGTTTTTAAAAAAAATAAATGACGGAATGTGTTTGCTCGAGGTAGTTTTTTTCTCCAGAAAAAGTTGGACTTTTTAACTAGAAATTTTTGAATAAGTTTTGTATAAAACGTG